TTATTACTGGTTTGTTTATGTAGATAATTTTTGTGAGTGGAGCCAAACTGGTGACATATGCCAGGAAGCAAGGTCTCAAACGCTCCAGGTCTTTGCTGCTGAGACGGTCTAATCCACTGGCCATTTGCAGATCTGGACTCCGGGCTCAAACCCGTGAGGGGGCAAGAGAACAGACCAACCCTTGATTAGTTCACAGAACTCCAATTCTTTATTCATCACAGCTTGCTCACAATGACATACAGGAAAGAGCACTAATGAAGAGTAAATATGCAGGCAGCAACCTTGGGGAGTTGGGAGGTGGGGAGAAACGACTTCAAAACTATGATCGGTCCTGACGTGGGTGTCTGGTGATTCTTAGTTGGCACAGTGCCCTGCCTACCCCCTTCGCTGTGTCAGCCCTCGCAGATGGAGTGATATATATTTTTTTAATCGGCAGGATGGCCTCACACTGGGGAAGAAAGACCAGCTTGTGTGAAAGTCCGCAGTGTTTCTGACTTTGTGTGTGTGTGTAGATGTGTGTGTGTGTGTGTGTGTGTGTGTAGATGTGTGTGTGTGTATTTCAACGCAACGACCAGCTCACAGTTTCCAAGTGAAAACTATTCAGTAGCATCATGTACTTGTACTATAGGTAAGAGCTTAAAATGAACATCGTCCATCATGGCATCCACAAATAAGCCACCTGACACGTTAATTAATTCATTCCATCAACAGAACTTAAAGGAGAGAACTAAGCCCACTTCATGAAGAGCGATTTCACGGCTGCTGGAGCCGTTTAAAACAGCACTTTAAAGGGTCCCTTGTTTTGCTTCCACCCAGATTGACCTCAGGCCTGTCTTCTCATCCATCCCTTTCTAAAACTGAAGCACGTCGGTAGCACACAATCCAGTAGAAGCGAATGTCAATGCTATGATTGGTGGGTATTCTTAGCCTGGTTTTGCCGTTTCTAGGCAGTAAGTAGGTTATGAACGAACAAATGTAGAGTTAGGTGTGGAGTCATAACACCTGTGGTCTGGGGATGGGCTCGGTCAAGTTCAGGGATGACAGCGCTGTCTAGGTCATTAGGCAATGGTGGATCTCTAGCACCATAGACTGTCTACTGACCTCGTTTTTCTGTTGGAATGAGAAAGGCAGGGAAGGTAGTCAGACGGGAGCTTCGGAACGAACAGACCCAGCGATTTCATTTGCGTGGAAAGACACAACGTCAAAAGCCTGTTACAGGACATGTAAGGTTATGAAATAACTTGCATAATGCAATACTTGTATTTTTTAACAAAAATGTAAGTATTTACAAAATAAGAACCAAGGTATTTTTTTTAAACATCAAGCAAAACATTCTGCAAAGAGACCGCATTGATTTCTTTTATTTTTGATTCTGTTTTTGTGTGTTTTTTAAATAGTGAGTTCTTCTTAAACCATGTCACACATTTCTCATACTGATATCGCAAGATCCCTTATGCTACAGGCAGGGGGACTTCCTAGCGGCGGGGCGTGCCACACCCTCCATCGCCTCAGCCGGACAGTTCCACCTGCAGCTCCTTGTTCCTGCGCACCTCCGCGGCGTGCCTCTCCTGCAAGACACCAAGGGACAAGCTGGGTCACGGAGCCCGCTGTCTGCTCCACGTAGAACTGGGGGACCCGCCCGCTCCTTTGCATGCGGTGTGCTCGACTGGAAGGAACCTCGTTTGACATCTGCCTTCAGGAAATGTTCTCATTTCCCGAGAAAGGAACACATGGAACCCAATACGTGTCACATTGCAGAAGCTCTTAGGAGACTTACGGCATCTTAAAAAAACAACAACCATTGTATTCAACCAAAACTATGACCAGAAGAGAATTTTAACTGTTATGGCCACTGTGTAAATCCAGACAGTGACCACTGCTCAGGATTCCTGATGTATCAGGTGGGGAACTTTCTTCAGGTCGAATTGAGAATCCTGCTGTGATGAGATGAGTGTGCCCATGCCTAGCAATGCCACGTAGGTTTTTTTTAGGGCCTAGGATGTGAGGTAAAGGTGGAGTCACAGTGATCCTGAATGGAACACAGTGGTTCTCCGCTGTCCATGGTACCAGAACCTGTCAGCAGGCATCTCACCAGTTGCGTGGGAAAGTGGAGACTGAGGGTACATGGAGGAATGCTCAGGGTCATGGGTCTAAATTTTAGCCAATGGAGCTTTGCTCTCCTGCATCTCAGTCAAGCGCTCACTATGGTACCACCATATGTAACCTGCAGCGAGCTGGTTTCTGGTGCCTCCTCCGAATGCTGACCTGACCCATGTATGTAGGTGGAATAGTTCTGAGAGTGTGAAAGGACTGGGCTTACACAGTAAGTTAAATCACAACTTTAGGGATTGACTGAGGCATCCAGGTGCTGTTCTGGCTCCTGCCCAGGTCACTCCGAACCTCACACACCCTCAGAGCCTCACATGCCCTGCCCAGCAAAGCTTCTGAGCATTCCTTAGAGTCCAGGTGCCCATGAAAATCTCCATGGAATTCAGTGTATATATTTTTAGGTTTTATGTCTGATTTCCTTTGGTTCTGGCCTGATATTTGTAGTCAGAGAATGGGAGTGAAAAAACAAAGAATCACTGGAATGTCAGGCTGAGGCTGCCTGATTCGTAGATGAGATGGGCCAACTCTATCAGACCACATGAAGCTTCCTAAGACATACTCAGAAAACAGGGGCCAGGAGTGTCTAAGCTCTCACTCAGTGTTCTGTGACAGGGACAGTCCATATCTCCCTGCATCTCCAGTGCCTCGCATGCGATCGCACCCAGGACAGGCGGGGAGGGTGACTGCTCAGAAAAGGATTGAGGCAGCCTGTCTCAAAGAACTGATTCCCCAACAGAGAAAGGATTTTTGAAAATGGACAGAGAAGCTGTCTTCTCAAGAACCTCCCCATTCCGAAAGGAAGGCTTTACGGGGTGGTAATGGTCATCGTGATGATGCCCATTACGATCTAGAACTAGGGGGGGGGGGTGGGGGGAGGCGAAGGGGTTGGCGGGGGCAGACAGGGCAGGAGGTGGGAAGAAAGGCAGCAGTGGTCGATTAGGATTAAGATGGGAGTGCCTGTGGCCGCTTTAAAGGGATTAGAGCGTGAGTGGGAGCCGGGAATGACTGTCAGGAAGT